TTGTTTCTAGCTACGTTGGCAGCGATTTGATTACAAGTTATCAGCTGATCTCTATCTATTATTATTATTAGTTAGGAATAATGATCATTTGCCTACCAGATCAGCAAATAATAATATTAATATACATTATATATAATCCTTGGCTATTAGTTAGTGAAGTTAAAACTAAACTTATATTTTAAAGTAACTTTGTTCTTATGATTCTTCTGCCATTCTTCTTCTTCTTCACTTCCTCTTTTACTTTTACCGCTGTGGGTGTCGAGGGAGATAAGGTTCTGTTTCTAGCTCTTCTGGCCGCCTCGACCATAGGCACATCGTGCTGTTGTAGAGTTTCTCTGATGTTATCCTTCCATATGTTCTTGGTCTACCTCGTGCTCTACGTCTTTCTTCTCTTTCCATATATGCTTTCCATTCTTACTTTAGAAAAATATTTCAGAGTTCACTAGCTCACTTTGTTGCACTAACTATACTATACATTTTTCGTTTGGTTAATATTATGCTTGTTTTCTTATACCTTGTAGGGGCTTTATGTGTGGTTTAATCTATTTACTTCTTTAGGGGTTGAATGGGATATCTCCAGTTTCTCCTGTTGCATTGGGTGTTAGCATCCATAATGGGACTCTGTGAGTTTCAGAGATGGTTAGCCTTTCAGGTGGCAACTGGCCCAGAGGGAGAAATCCAACAGATCTTGTCATGTGATACTCAGATACTGGCAGTAGATTCAATACTTCAGTTTTAAAGTAACTTTAAGCAAGTCGTAAGTCATGGAACAGCCTCAGAATGTCATCAGTAATGTGTACAGTGCAGACTGCATAAGATGATCTTGGATGTGATGAATTTCTGTTGTGAAGAACAGTTTGTTTTATCACCAGCAATTTTTCCTGCTTGAACTCTATCAAAAGAGTATTTTCTGATAAAAACAACCATTTCTTGGGTCCCTAGTGAGTTCTCATCAGGTTTGCTCTGTAGTAGATAACACAAGTTAGAAGTAGTGCTGAACACTGAGTCCCCTTTCTCTTCAGATCATTTCCAGCTATATTTTATTATTTTGTGTTGTATTATTTTTTAAATTTTTGGTAGCCCATTATTTACTGTTTAAATCCATCCAGTTTGGAAGCTTAAATATCTATTTGATCACTTTACGGTTCTTTTCGGCTTTTCCACTTCATCTCGGTGGCTGTGAGATTTGGTAGGCAGTTCCTAAGGACTCTCCAGAAGGTCCTATAGTGGGGTTAAAAAAAAGGGGGGGGGCAGGTTGTAGGGTTAGTGTTAGTCGGTGTTCATTTAACAGTAACCCTACGACACTAAAACTAATATATTCTAGGCATGTCATGTGTAGGTTGTTGTCAGTGTGTTCATCATTTACTGCATCGTCTTTTCAAGGGTGTATTACATTCATTGGTTTGTCACCATCAGTGTACCTGTTTGCTGTCACCATCAGTGTACCTGTTTGCAGGCAGAGTTCTTACTTTAGACTTTTGCCATGAATGTCCTTGACCGTCAGCGTTCCTGCATCTAATCCTAAACCTATCCGATGAGTATGCATACATGGAGACAGTTGTTCCTTTTCAGGGCCCTTTCCTGCTGACACTAGTTGATGGCCCTCTTCCAGACCCGCCTCAAACATTCCCTAGTTCACACCCCACTGCCATTGGGGTGCCCAAGAGAAACACTGGTTCAGGCTCAACTTTACGGGTCCCTAAGCGAATTAGAGAATGTAACAAAGTTTATTCTATAGACAACATTGCAGATATAGATAATCTATTTTGGGCGAGCAAAAGAAGAAGAAGAGGAAACTAACCCTAATCTCCCTATACTGCAGGACCTTCTGGTGAACTCTAGAAATTCCCTACCAAATCTCGCAGCCCCAGAGATTTGGTGAAAAGGCTGAAAAGTACCCGTTATTCAAAAGCTAGTGTTTGGACACGCCACTTCAACCCCCCCCCCTCTCCCTTTCCAAATGTAGAAGACCAGGGCAGATAACAGAGAGACAACAAAAACTGCATACACAAAGTAGTTGTATTAGAAGTAGACCACAAGGTAGACCAGAAAGATGATGGAGAGAAAATATACAGGCAAGCCTTACAACACTGAAAGTCACCAACTTGAAAAAGATGGCCAGTGACAAAGATGAATAAATGTGGATGATATCCGCAGTAATCAACCTCAAGGGCTCAGAATGCTGAAGAAACATTGACTCTCCTTCCCTTCCTCTCTCTCTCTCTCTCTCTCTCTCTCTCTCTCTCTCTCTCTCTCTCTCTCTCTCTCTCTCTCTCTCTCTCTCTCTCTCTCTCTCTCTCTCTCTGTGTGTCATTTTCTATACATAATCTCATTGACACATTCCCTATACATATTCCTATTGACACACATTCCCTATACATCATCCCATTGACACACATTCCCTCTACATCACCCCATTGACACACATTCCCTATACATCATCCCATTGACACACATTCCCTATACATCACCCCATTGACACACATTCCCTATACATCATCCCATTGACACACATTCCCTATACATCATCCCATTGACACACATTCCCTAAACATCATCCCATTGACACACATTCCCTATACATTATCACATTGACACACATTCCCTATACATCATCCCATTGACACACATTCCCTATACATCACCCCATTGACACACATTCCCTATACATCATCCCATTGACACACATTCCCTATACATCATCCCAGTGACACACATTCCCTATACATTATCACATTGACACACATTCCTTATACATCATTCCATTGTCACACATTCCCTATACATCATCCCATTGACACAGATTCCCTATACATCATCCCATTGACACACATTTCCTATATATTGTCCCATTGACACACATCCCCTATACATCATCCCGTCGACACACATCCCCTATACATCATCCCGTCGACACTCATTCCCTATATATCACCCCATTGACACACATTTTCAGATATGAAAAGCGTGCTTAATAAATGTGAACAGATGGGTAAATAAAAGGGGTCCAGTATAAAACAAACACAAGGTGCCCAAACATTTTACCTTGCACCTGCATTGTTCAGATTAAGTTGTGAAGAACATCTGGTTGGTGCAAACATCGATGCCGCCTGCTACAAGACACACTGTTGTTGTCTTTTGTTGTAGCTGGTACATGACCAGATTCAGCTGACGGGCCGTGCTGCTGATGTCACCGGGGCGGGCTAACCATGCGTTAACACAGCAGTTCTCAAACTGGGTGCTGAGGCACCCCGGGGTGCCGTGAGCATTTGCCTCGGGTGCCGTGGCAATAATCAAGAAAAGTCGGCTAAAAATTGTGAAATTATTCAAGAAGGCATGTAGACACATAAAAGTTAGCCCAACCTGGTGATGTCAGCAGCCGGGCCTGCCAGCTGGAGCCGGTTGTGGCTGGAGCCTGTCTGTCTGTCCAGTAGACATGTTGTTTTCATGGTGCTATGAGACTCACAGCCCATGGTGATGGCAAGTGTGACTAGCAAGACCCGGCCACATTAAGAAACATCTTCCACAATCAGAGCATGAGATTTCAGGACCGTTGTTGCCAGCATATGTGTTTAGTGTGCAACTTCTCAGATGCTCAGCTCTCAGACCTTTCTATTTTTTTCCTTTATTCCTATTCCCCTCTTGATTTCCCTCCTCCATGCAACAGGGGCATTGGCCTTTTGCTTCCAGGATAGGACACACTAGACAAATCGGGGGGAAAAACCCATTAAAAATAGACGGCCCTGTATTCTGTTGCACTGTGTGGTTCTGTTGCATGACAGTATTCACATTCTTCTTCTTCTTTGCGTCCTCTTTTACTGCTTTGGGTGTTGAGGGATATATAAGGTCCTACTTTGTGCTCTTCTGGCTGCTTCGACCATAGACACTGTGATGTAGTTTCTCTCATGTTATCTATCCATATTGTTCTTGGTCTGCATCTTGGTCTGTGTCCTTCTCTTTTCGTATATGCCTTGTGTGGTATATATGTATGTTGGGTTGGGCTTTGAGAGGCATTGAGGTTGGGCTTTGAGAGGTATTAAGGTTGGGCTTTGAGAGGCATTGAGGTTGGGCTTTGAGAGGCATTAAGGTTGGGCTTTGAGAAGCATTAAGCTTGGGCTTTGAGAGGCGTTGAGGAGCTTTGAGAGGCGTTGAGTTTGGGCTTTGAGAGACATTAAGGTTGGGCTTTGAGAGGCATTGAGGTTGGGCTTTGAGAGGCATTGAGGTTGGGCTTTGAGAGGCATTGAGGTTGGGCTTTGAGAGGCATTGAGGTTGGGTTTTGAGTGTAATCATAAGTATTGTGCATCCCACAGTATGTCAAATTTCAAGTTTTATGCAATAATTTGAAGACCATGACATAAAGTAGGGTGGTCTCTTCCCTTTCCTATCAGCATTTTTTTAATGCTTAGCCGAGGCTCCCTGGTCAGCCTAGCATAAAATGGTTACTAGGAAATGTTGTAGGAAGTAAAGGCAGACACCTTGATATTGATCACAGTATCCACCGAATGTTACAGTGACATATTAAGGTCCTGTACTTACTGCTCTGATAAGGATTTAATAATGTGATGTGGAAGCTTTCATCTTGAGCTTTGACATCTTAGCACACCAGGCAGTCGGAAGAAGGAATATAGCAGCGGGATTACAAAGGGCATCTGCAACAACAGTAACTGAAGATGATGTTTGATGAAGTAATTAATTAACATCTCATGCTGTAAAGCTAATCAACACAAAAACACATCTCATATAAAGCATTTTCATTCCCACCCTATGCTACTAATGCCAGACGTGGTCACTCACAACAAAACATTTAAAAAACAATTAGTAACTATGGAAGAGAGATGTTTGAGAAGAGCTGCAGGAGTGACCCGAAGAGATACAATCAAGAATGAGGTCACAAGAGAAACATTTGGCATCTAATTCTAAATTGCATACCAACACAACCACTCAGATGGTTTGCCCTACTCAGAAAATGAAGTTTGATACCATACAAGGCATACACCATATCATACAAGACATGCACTATTCCATACTGAGCATACACCATACCATACAAGACATGCACTGTTCCATACAAGGCATACACTGTTCCATACAAGGCATACACTGTTCCATACAAGGCATACACTGTTCCATACAAGACATACACTGTTCCATACAAGGCATACACCATACCATACAAGACATACACTGATTCCATACTGAGCATACACCATACCATACAAGACATACACTATTCCATACAGAGCATACACCATACCATACAAGACATGCACTATTCCATACTGAGCATACACCATACCATACAAGACATGCACTATTCCATACTGAGCATACACCATACCATACAAGACATGCACTATTCCATACTGAGCATACACCATACCATACAAGACATACACTATTCCACATACATACAAGACATACACTGTTCCATACAAGGCATACACCATACCATACAAGACATACACTATTCCATACAAGGCATACACCATACCATACACAACACTACCATACCATACACTGTACACATACATACACCATACAACAAGGCATACACCATACCATACAAGGCATACACTGTTCCATACAAGGCATACACCATACCATACAAGGCATACACTATTCCATACAAGGCATACACCATACCATACAAGGCATACACCATACCATACAAGGCATACACCATACCATACAAGGCATACACCATACCATACAAGGCATACACCATACCATACAAGGCATACACCATACCATACAAGGCATACACCATACCATACAAGGCATACACCATACCATACAAGGCATACACCATACCATACAAGGCATACACCATACCATACAAGGCATACACCATACCATACAAGGCATACACTATTCCATACAAGGCATACACCATACCATACAAGACATACACCATACCATACAAGGCATACACATACCATACAAGGCATACACCATACCATACAAGGCATACACCATACCATACAAGGCATACACCATACCATACAAGGCATACACCATACCATACAAGGCATACACTGTTCCATACAAGGCATACACCATACCATACAAGGCATACACCATACCATACAAGGCATACACTGTTCCATACAAGGCATACACCATACCATACAAGGCATACACCATACCATACAAGGCATACACCATACCATACAAGGCATACACCATACCATACAAGGCATACACCATACCATACAAGGCAACACATACCACCATACACATACACAAGGCCATACAAGGCATACACATACAAGGCATACACCATACCATACAAGGCATACACCATACCATACAAGGCATACACCATACCATACAAGGCATACACCATACCATACAAGGCATACACCATACCATACAAGGCATACACCATACCATACAAGGCATACATACCATACCATACACCATACCATACACCATACCATACACCATACCATACACCATACCATACACCATACCATACACCATACCATACACCATACCATACACACCATACACCATACCATACAAGGCATACACCATACCATACAAGGCATACACCATACCATACAAGGCATACACCATACACCACCATACCATACAAGGCATACACCATACCATACAAGGCATACACCATACCATACAAGGCATACACCATAAGGCATACCATACCATACAAGGCATACACCATACCATACAAGGCATACACCATACCATACATACAAGGCATACACCATTCCATACAAGGGCATACACCATACATACAAGGCATACACCATACCATACA